CCCCGGTGATACATCTTCTTCACTGTGGTGTTTATAAGAGTCCATGTCATAAACTTTCATATCGTGATGAATCAGTGAATTCTGCTCCTGAAGCCAATATTGCACTGTATGTTAACTAATGAAAATTTAAATTAAAAAAAGAAAAAGAATCGCTTTAAAAAAATTATACACCAACATACAGATGAGTACATATAAAACTGTTGAAATCGAAGTGGATTCTGAGGGTGGCACCAATATATCAATTTGTTTATTCATCTTATTCATGGGGTCTTTTTCAGAACAAAAGTCTGTAATGTTGATGATTACAATTTATCAGTTTTTAATTTCATAGATCACGTTTTTGGTGTCATGGCTAAGAAACCTTTGCTTCACTCTAAATCATAAAGATTTTCTCCTATGTTTTTTGTCGATTTATAGTTTTACGTTTTACATTAGGTAGAGAGGTATTTACATTACGTACAGATGTGTTTACATTATGTACAGATGTATCATCCATTTTGAGTTCATTTTTATATATAAAGGGTGAAGTTTAGGTGGAGGTTTTGGGGGGGGTTGTTTTTTGTTTTTTTGGCCTGTGGGCATTCAATTGTTTCAACACAATTTGTTAAAACAACTATCCTCGGGGCACCTGGTGGCTGAGTCAGTTAAGCATCTGACTCTTGCTTTTGGATCAGGCCATGATCTCAGGGTTCGGGAGTTCGAGTCCCACATGGGGCTCCGTGCTGACACTGCAGAGCCTGCCTCAGATTCTCTGTTTCCCTCCCCCACTCATATCCTTGCTAAACAAACAAACAAACAAATAAAACAACTATCCTACATTCATAGAAGTGCTTTTGCTCTTTTGTCAAGATGAGCTTACTATTTTTATGCTTCTTTGTATGCCTGTGGCTTTTTTGTTGGAAATTGGTTATTATTGGTAACTCTGGAAATAAGAATCTTCCTGTTCCCCATGGTTTGTTGGGTTTTTACTTATTTTTGAAGTCTGTAGTAGTGTGTTCAATTTGATGCTTCCATTTTTTTAAAGTTTATTTATTTATTTTGAAAGAGGGGGGGAGGGGCAGAGAGAGAGTGAGAGAGAGAATCGCGACCGGGCTCCTCACTCTCAGTACAGAACCTGATGCGGGGCTAGAACTCATGAACTGTGAGGTGATGACCTGGGCCGAAGTCAAGAGTCAGATGCTTAATGACTGAGTCACCCAGGCACACCTCCAGTTATTATTATTATTACTTTTTGCAAAGACGATTGATTACTTGTTGAGTTTAAACACTGAAGTCTTTGTTTCTTTAGTTTGTGTTTAGCTTATGTTTTGAAATATTTCTTTGAATCTCCAGAGCTGAAACAAATAAACAAACAAAAATAACAAATAATGAGAGAGAACAGCTACCTCCCCCAGGCATGCTGACTCTGTGCTGGAGTCCTTGTCCCCCCTCCCCCTTTGCTAGGCTTGCTCTGGTCTAGGAGTCAGCCTGGGGTGGAAGCTTGAGGTCTTCTCAGGACTTTTCTGAGCATTCTTGCCTGTCCTGCACATGGCTTTTTAAACTCCCCTGTATACAGGCTGCTTTAGAAAATCCTCATTTCCCACAGTCTTACTTTAGCTTATCTCCTGAGCTTTAAACGGTCAATTATGTGTCCCCGGCCTGAATCTCCTAGCTCAGGCGTCTGTAGGTTCAGAGGTGCCCTGTAGGTTCAGGAGCAGCACCTGCCTTTTCCCACCTGTGTCCAACCTGTACAAACCACACAAGAACATCTTGCTCCAGGCCTTCAGGAGGCCCCCAGAAAGATTGGAATGAGGGAACACAGTTATCTGCAAGGAAGGTCTGCTCTGCTCCCCACAATGGAGGAGGGGAACCGGGGACCAGCCCTGCTCCTGCACAGGACTAAGACCATGGCCCTGCTGGGAGGTATGGGACAAGGGTGGGTAAAATGCCACAAAACCTTCTTACCTTTTTGGAGATGTTTTTTTCTTGATTGGGCATATGCTGGTCACTGGAAGCCTTTGGCTATTTTCTGGAGCTCCTATAAAGCTGGTTTAGAGGTTTCTGAGAGAGAGAGAGAGAGTGTGTGTGTGTGTGTGTGTGTGTGTGTGTGTGTGTGTGTTCTTCTTTTCTTTCTTTCTTTCTTTTTTTTTTTAATTTTCTGTGCAGAAACAAGAGCTTGGACCATCCTAGTCTGTCCATCATTTTGCTGCTGTCACTCTTCCTTTAACTTCGGTGTAAGTTTTAGAATAAGTTTGTCTATTTTGACCAAAGAAAAGCCTTATGGGGAACTGACAGGAATTCCATTTTAAGCCTGTCTATCAATTTTACAAGAATTGACAATCTACTACCTTGACTCTTTCAGTTCATGAAAGCAGTATGTTCTTGTGCTTACATGGGCTTGTTTGTTTTCATCAGTTCTGTAAGGTTCATTGTGCAGGTCCTTTACATTTTTTAAAAGACTTACACCAAACATCTCATTTCTGAGAGAATGACTGTATATGTTCTAGATATTCATTTCCAATTGTTCGTTGCTAGACTATGGTAATATGATCGATGTTGCATATTACACTGATCTTGTATTCTGAGATTTCGCTAATCTATTATGAGTTTTCTTGTAGAGTCCTTGGAATTTTCGTCATCACATAATGACATCAGCACATAATGACAGATATATTTCTTCTTCTCCAAACCGCATGCCTCTATTTCCACTTCTAACTTTACTATACTAACTAGGACCTGCAATATTAAGTTGAAAAAGGAGAGATGAGAGCAGATATTCTGGTCTTATTGCTGAACTGAGGGGAAAAACTTTATCTTCATTTTTATCTATATATAACTTAAAGCTTAAACTTTGGACACATTAGAGTATAATGCGATTATGTTTGTTTAGTTACTTTATGACTGTTCTCCAAATACCATTGGAGAAAATTCTTTTAATGTCAGTTTTATCTAGAGGTTGTCAATATCTTGCACACGCAGAGCAACCAATAGCGAATGCCCTGAAAAGATGAATCCAGGCCTACAAGACGTACTTATCAGAAGTACACAGAGACTACAATAGTGGTATATCCATTGCTTTCTGGGACAGCACAAGGGATCCAGCAAAGCCAACATCGAGGTAAAAATAGGGGGGGAAGGATGGCGTGTGATCTGAATCACCCTCTCGGTACTGATAACACCACTGTGCTCCCAGTGGCATAGGTTGGTCTGTATAGATGGCTTTGAGGCTCCACTTCAGCACAATTTGCAAGAGAAAAATCTACATTTGGCTGTTTTCATATGAACAGATTGTAAAGGGCAGGAGCACTTTACCAATTGTTCTATTTATATATTTTTAGGAGCCTTACAACCTAGAAACACCTTACGGATACCTCTGTAGATTGTGTGTGGGGTTGGAAAACATCTTTTAATGTCCATGCACTTTGTACGAATTCACACAATACACGGCCCTGAAGCATGATCTTCGGAATGAACCACGACAAAGGACATTCCAAAGGACAGACTATGGGAGGAGGGTGGAGACTGGCCTTCAGAGACTGCGGTGAAGTAGGGAAAATGAACCCTCACACAGCCCAGCTTAATCGCAAGATATTTTGCTAAAATGAGCAACGAGAGAGAGCCCAGGCTGGCACGCAGGCATCCCAGACGGACGGGCCCTCAGACTCCGTGAGTCACGTCCAGGGCCTCCCAGGAGACCTGCGAGGCTGTGGGGACTCGTGCCAGCTCATCTGGAGGAAGGGTCCCGTCAAGTAGGTCATGGGGACCACAAGTGGGGACTTTCCGAGCCCTCTGATTCCCGGCCCAGAATCTCCAGAGCAAATGCTTGTAGGGGTTCCGGGGATGGCTCAGCACTGTCTGTCCTAACAACTGGCCACGGACACCATCTTTCTCTGCCGGAGCCCCCTAAGACACCCGTGCCCAGTGATGGCTGATGACCGATGGAGGCATGGGTGCGGGCAGGCCTCCCCAAGATCAGCGTTTGGGGAGCATGGGGGCACCCTGGCCAGGATTCCCCAAAGCAGCCTGCTCTCCCCCTTCCCGCCCAGCGCACAGTGACCTGTAGGACACCCCGCAGCTCGGAATGAAGAACAAACGTGCAGCCAGGAGGGGGGGGCAACAGGGAGCCCGACTGCCCGGGTGCCATCAGAAGACATGACACCGTCATCAGTGGGGACAGGTGTGCACCTGGATGCGAGGGATTTCCCCACGACTCCAAGGCTACTTTGAGGGGTTTCTTCTTACGGGAGCAGGAGGAGGACTCTGGAGCCAACGCTGTGTGGCAGCCGCCCTGGCGCCCGTGACTGCCCTCATCCCCTGGCCTCCCGGAGCCCACGGTCCTCAGAAAGCGGTGAAGCCTGGCTCCCTCCAGGCTCCCTGTGGAGGCCCAGTGAGCTGACCGCCTGGGACAGCGCACGCACACCCCGGCTGGTGGCCCCCGAGTCCCGCCTCATGCTTTCCCCGAGTCCATCCTCACGGGGATGAAGAGGACTCCCCCCCCATCCCTCACATTTCAACGGTCCCACTGGGACTGGAAGATGCTCCTCATACCACGAGGCCAGAGCCCCAGAGCCTGTCCCCTGAGGCCAGGCCTTCTGCCCTCCCTCAGGCCCACACAGGGAGCCTTGGAGGAGCCAAGGAGGATGTAGCCCCCCCCAAGCCCCCCCTCCCCGCCCCAGCTCAGCCCCAGGGCTGGACGCTGCAGGGAGGCAGAGGGCAGCTCCCGGAGAAGACAGGGCTGACTGCAGACTGCACTCTGGAAGACGGTTGTGGTGCAGAGGGCGCCCATCCCTGGATGTTCAGGGACGCACATGGTGACCGCAAGCCCCTGGAGGCCCCTCCCAGACCCCTTCCCTCCGGCCAGGGCATCTCCACGCAGCGGCCCAGACGCATTTCCCGGCAAAACCATCTTTATTCCCACGTACACGCAGCGCCCCTGGGGGCTGCTGCCGCCCCGCCCGCAGTCGTGCCCTCCCCCTCTCCCCCCAGCCAGGATCAGCACTGAAGGGTGGGCCCAGGGCTCCCTACGGGCTGCAGTGCTGCTTCTTCCTCCTCCCTGGGACAAAGGAGCCACACCTTCTCTTTGGAGGCAGAGAGGGCCGAAGCAGCCCCACGGCCAGGGCCCGCACCGAGCCCCTGAGGCTGGCCCCTGGGAGGGGCGTCTTCCCGGCAGCGGCCAGACCCGCACGCAGAGCCCGCTTTCTGGACTTGGCAGCTGGGGGAGCGGCTGGGCTGCGGCCCATTCTCTGAGCAGCGGGGGCCTGGGGAGCTCCCCGCGGCCCGCGCCCTCCAGGGCTGGGGAGGCCCGGGGCCGGAGCAGGACTCTGGGAGAGCCCCCAGGGCAGCAGGCTGTGCCCAGAGGCCAGGAGGAAGGCCAGGCTGGGCAGCTCCTCCTCGTCCTCACTGGACCCATCTGCTGGCCCGCCAGGCTCCCTAGCAGGGGGGGCCTCTCTGAACAACGGGGCATCCCTGGGGTCCGGCCGAGGAGGGGTGCGCCCTGGCCCCTGGGGAGGAGAGGAGAGCCCACCAGCCCGGAGGGCAGGCAGCTGCTGTTGTCCTGGAGACGCGGCAAAGGCTCTGGGTCTGCACGGGTGCGCGTGTGCCCGGCTGTGCCTCTGGAGGTCCTGGCACTCGCTCTCTGCTGGGCAGGCTTCACGGCTGACCCCTGGCCGGGCCCTGGCCTCACCCTCAGGCCCGGAGCCCAGTGTCGCTGCACAGTGACTCGGGGTTGTGGGCACACCGTCCTCCACCGCCAAGGCCACCAGTCTCTTCTCTACCAGCTGGGAGGAGGGAGGTGACGGTGACTGGCCAGCGCGGGAGTGTGAGAGGGGAGGTGGGACGGTGGCATGGGGGACGGGGGTGGGGGGGGTGGGAGGAGGGGTCGGGTGGCCCGTGAGGCCCTGGCTCTCCTGATATCCCCCCGAGTCCCTCCCTCCCTTCCCAGGCTCCCCATCCTGTAGATGGCATTCTCTGCTCAGTACCTGCCCTGGAGCTCCTGGAGCTCGCCTCCCCAGTGCCATGCCTCCTAGGCAGGGGAGCGGTGGACCGAGTCACGTGTGCCTTTGTACTGAGCGCCCCCCCTTCCCTGGCTCACCTGGGTCCCCTCCCTCCCCTGGCTCAGCTCCTCTCCTGCGTCTCTCTTTGCCCTGCTCACCTCTGCAAGGGAGAGTCCTTCCTCCTGCTCCAATTTCTCAGCGAGGGCCAAAAGATCCAGCTGTGGTTCTGAAGAAAGCAGTTCTGCCAGGAATCGCGGGTGAATGACTGCCTCCACCTGGGACAGAAGGAACAGGCTGTGGGCACCTGGGCAGGGGGCACCTGTGAGCCAAGCAGGACCCGCAGGGAAACTGGTAACGTGAAGCCCCACCCCGCCTTCTGCACAAGGCAGGATGTTTGAACCATCATGGTCACTGGCTGCACGCACACGCAGACAGGCGCACACGCACACACACACATGCACACACAGGCACACGTGCAGACAACAAAATTTCACACATGCATACACAGAGAGACAAAGCCTATACACACATACATACATATACACATACGCACACACAAAAGCCACACAAATGCGTATGCACACACACCCCCAACACATATGTGCCCACACAGAGACACAGAAGCATTCAAATGGTAGACACCAACATATCCTCACAAACATATGCATACACACAAAGACATGCACGTACACATACACACAGGCCACACACAGACACCCACACAGGTTCACCCACACCTGCACAGGTGCACACACACACAAGTACACACACGTTCATGTACACAAGTACCCACAGAGGCACACTACACACAGCCACAAACACATGCATGGACACACACACACACAAGTACACACAGGTGCACCCTACACGCAGGCACACTTACATGCACGTAAGCACATTCACACAAGTACACAGACATACAAACCCTTGCACGTATGTTCATGCACCCAAGTACACACATGCAAACACACACAGGCACACACACATCCACCTAAGCACATTCACTCAAGTACACATACAAACAAACCCTTGCATGTACGTACATGCACACAAGTACACACACGCACGCTACACGAAGGCACACACACGTGCACGTAAGTACATTCACACAAGTACACGCACATGCACACACATACATGTATGCACACGCACACAAGAGCACACACACATGCACCCTACACGCAGGCACACACACACGCACGTAAGCACGTTCACACAAGTACACACACAAACACTTGCACGTATGTACATGCACTCAAGTACACGCCCATGCACACACATAAATGGACGCATATGCACACAAGTATACACACATGCATGCACACAAGTACCCACACGCACATGCACATAAGCACATTCACTCAAATACACACACATACAAACCCTTGCTTGTACGTACATACACACAAGTACACACATGCTCGTAAGCACATGCACCCAAGTACACACACGTGCACACACACATGCCTGCACACACACAGCTCAGGAACGGGGAACAGAGCTTGATCCCAAAGGCCTAGGCACAGTCCCACTCCGGGTGTCGGAGTGGCAATGCCTGGAATCTTCCAGACGCCAGGCTGTGGGCCGGCCCACCTTGGTGATGAAGTCTTCCTGGGAACACAGCTTGTCAATGTAGCTGAGAAGACCCGGGTCCAGGTAGATGGCGTCCTCGTCCTGCCGTGGCTCCTCTCCGTCCTGTCCCCATTCACCCGCTAGCGCCCCCGGGGCTGAGCAGGCAGGCCCCAGCAGCCCCTCCATGATGTCCACGTACTCTCTCACAGCCTCAGGGGGGATCTCCTTGGGTGCCTTGGGCTGCGGGGGTCTGTGTGGCTGCGGGCAGGGTGGCTGGGCCCTGGAGCCGGCCTTCCTGGGAATGCGGGCTGAGGCAGAGCGGGAAGGAGGGAGGAGGTGACAGGGGCTCCAGCTTGCTTGTGGAGAGGGCAGGGTTTGGGGGACACTGATGTCGGTGGGGGCTGGGTCAGGGCCACCTGAAGCCACAGGCACCCTGGGACGGGGGAGCTGAGGGGAGGAGCATCCAATAGCGTCTCCTGTGAGCAACAGAGGACCCACCGTTTCTCCAAGGGTCTCCCCCCGCAGCCCGCTTTCCAGGCAGAGTTCTGTTGGGTCCCTTGACAGGGAGGTGGGACTTGCCAGGTCAATATCTCACGGTGACAAAGGGCAGCTACGACCCCAGGCTCTCTGCGGCTGGTTTGGTTGAAAGACCAAGGCCCACGTGAAGGACGAGACAGGACGTGGGGACAGCGGCCTTCCCTAGGCCCCACTGCCTCCGGCCGCCAGCTCCCTTGGGAATGTGGGTGCTGTACCTGGCGGCCGGCCCCCCTCCAGGGCTGGGGACCCCTGTGTTCCAGGCTTGGGTGGGGCTGGAGCAGATGCGCCCTGGGCCACCTTCACCCACTGCAGCTTCTGAATCTGTATCTCCTCCTCTGCCTCAAACTCCATGAACCTGGGGGTGAGGAGACCCAGGCCACACTGAGGAGGGGCCCGGCCGTGGAGCCCAGCAAAGGCGGAGGCCGTGGGGGACCGGAAGAGGCAGTGCCCGGCAGCGGCAGCCATGGTCCTGGCCCCCCAGGAGGCAGCAGGCTGGCCGATCCGGCCCGGCCCGGCCCCAGAGGGGGTCCCACCTCCCCGGGGTCGCAGGTTCAGCCCCCATCCTGAGACCTTCACATGGAGGCAGGGGTGGGTGTCGATCAGGTTGGGGTTGAAGCCTGGGCAGGTAGGTGAGGAGGACCCTGTGCTCAGCCCGGCCTCACGGGTCCCACGGGCCTGGGGCTGGGACCCTGACTCACTTTCCTGCCATCTCGTAGTAGATGACCCGGTCAAAGTTGCTTCTGCACTGCCACTCCTGCACGGCCCGCCACACTCCCTCCTCCAGCGTCATGGTGGGCTTCAGGCGGGCCAGGGACCGAAGCACCGGGCTGCAAGCCCTCGGGGTCAGGCGGCGGCTGCGGCCTGGTGGCCCCACCCTGCCCCACCCCGCCCTGTGCAGCACGTGTCCCCCGCCCAGCGAGACTCAGTGCTGGCAGGTGACAGGCGGTGTCTGGCCGTGCAAACCAGCCCCCTCCAGGCGACCACTGTCACTGCCTCACACTGGGCAGCCCCGGGCCCTGGGCTCCAGGCTGACCACCCACCCGCACCTGGATCAGGGAGCTCTTTGCCCCCGGACCCTGCGTTCCGTAATGACGATACTGAGCGTGCCGTGCCAGGCAGTGATCCGGTCCCCCGGTCCCCTGCGGGAAGTGCCGTCACCCCGTGTCCGGGGGGGGACCCCAGAGGACCCGCGCCGCACTGCCTTCCCCGAGCGGCACTGGCTCACACCCTGCTCTCCTCACCCTGAGGCCCCCGCCCTGGGCACACCCCAGGGTCCTGGCTGAGGGCGGCGGGGGGGCAGAAGGCGCTCACATGAGAAAGCAGGAGAGGGCTTCGGCGTCGGGGCTCTGCGGGAGGTGCCTGCGGGCCAGGACCTTGAAGCACTGCCAGCGCCGGAAGTTCTCGTACACACTCTTGGGGCTACAGGAGTCCGCGGGCGAGGCCTTGGCGGGGCCGCTGGCCAGGCTGCCCTCCCTGGCAGCTGCGGGGGGCTGCGGCCCTGCGGTCCCCGGGGGCACCACGGGGGCCCGCCGGACAGCCGGGGGGGGAGCCTGAGGTCGAAGGCCCGGGGTGGAGCCTCCCTTGCCGGCCCAGGTGCCCCCGACGGCTGGGGCGGACACGGGGCTCCCCGCTGCCGACGTTGCCAGGAACAGGGGTGTGGGACACGCAGCACCCCCACAGAGGGCCCCGGGAGGACTCCAGCGAGCGGGGGCCTGGGTGAGGACGACGGTCTGAGTCTGGGGGGCATCTGCGGGCCCCCACTCTGACCTGACCTGGACGATGACGTTACAGGCCCGGGTCCCACCTGGGCCACGGACGGCATCTCCTGCCACCAGCGGTGTCCTGCAGAAAGTGGGCAGCACCACGGGGCTGCCAGGCGTGAATGGCGGGGTCACGTGGGGCGGCGAGTGCTGCCCCCGGGGTGACCGGCGCGAGGCGCCAGCAGCAGGTGGGGGAAACGGCTGTGCCGTCAAAGAAGACACGGAGGCCTCCGGGTCCATGGCCACATGCGGTCCCAGCACTGGAGATGCTGTGGACAGAAGGGAAGGGCCGGATGGAGTCGGAGAATCGCAGCCAGGACGCAGGATCCTGGGCCCCTTTGCTCACTAGGGAGCGGAGTGGGGAATCGCGACACGGGAGGGACGCTTACAGGAAAAGGTGCGGTTTGCAAGTGTCCTGGAGTGAGTTCCATGCTCTGGCCTCCAGACGACAATTACTGTCCCCGCCCTCCTCAACAAGACAGCCTGCCTGCCTGGAAGAGGCAGCCTTGGCCAGCACTGACTCTGGGAACCTCCCCAGGACCCCAGACACCACCCTCCATCCTCACGGGCTGTCCTCCTGGACGAGGGGCTGGGTGGACATCTGCCCCGTGGGAAATGCCCTCGGCCGGCTCCCAGGCGGCTTGGGTTCTGCTCCCAGGTACGTCCGAGTCACCTGAAGGGCCTTTGTGAACGGGCAGCGTCTAAACCATTTGGGCCCCTCTCCTGCTCAGACCCCCAATGCCTGACGCTCAGTAAAACTCCCTCCCTTTCTTCCTGTCCTAACATAAGAAAACAAACGCTTGTAATATCTTTCTCCCTAGAAGCGCGGCCTCCGAGCCCCCACGTAACCCCGTCTTAGGAACCCCCACAGCCCACACGCCGCACGGGCCAGGTGCTGCCACCGCTCAGCAGCTCGGATCCTGGGAGAGTGTGAGGCAGGCGTCATGTTCCCTGGTTCCTGTCACTCGCAGCCCACGGTGGCTACAGAAGACTAGCAAAGGGCAATGCAGACGGGGCAGCGGGGCTGTTGGGGCGGGGGGACTCTGGAGCTGGGTCACGTGGGACTGGTTGCGGGAATGCAGGCTTCTGTGGTCTTCCCCTTCCAGCTCCAACAGTGAAGGTGAGGACACACGAGGAGCCCAGCATGAGCCCAGGGCCAGGAGGAAAAGGGGCTGGATCCCGTGCCTGTTCAGGAAGAACCCATGCGGGTCCTCGTTCGGGGGGACAAGGGACACACCTGCACATCTAACTGATCAACAGCTGTCCCACGACATGTCATACAGCCACAGAAGATGGTCCTCCCGTCCAGGCTCCCCTCCTCTCCCCTGTAAGGAGGACTCAGCTTTCACAGATGCTGCTTGGGACACCCAACCACGCTACACTCCGTTCCCCATCCACGGCACAGGGACGAGGAATACAAGCCGACTCTTCATCTCAAAGGTGGCTCCCAGGGCTGAGGGTTGGCCAGGAAACCCCGGACAAGACGAAGCAGGTGGAAGGACCGCACGTCCTCAAGAGGAAGAGGGACCCAGAACAGCTGAGGAACCCAAGGCCTACCTCGGTTGAGGCCACCTGATGCCCTGTCCCTGCTGAATCTACGAAAAGGGTCACCTGGGCTGGGGAGAAGTCAGCTCTGGGCTGGAAGGGGTGGAAGTCCGGGGCCGGGGGTGTTAGAGGAACTTCCAGCCCCGCTCCCGGGGAGGACATTGGCCACAAGACCGCCCCACTGAACCACGTCCTGGCTCAGACCATCTCCCCCCACATCCCTATCAGGCACTATGGAGACCCAGAATCTGCAGTCAAGTCCCTTGGAGGGTATGGTGGGGGAGGTCCAGGTGTCTGAGGAATACCACACCCGGCTGTCCTTTCCCTGGGACCCTGCCTGTGCCACCACCACGACACGGTGCCACCTCTGCTACAAACTGTCAAAGTGGTGTGTGACTCCAGAGACACGCAGTGTGCCTGCCTCCATCCGTTCTCCACACCCAGGGCATTTCCCCTACGAGGTCTCGACCCGCCCTCCTCCCCAGGGTCCTTGCAGGTTTCCACGGGCTCCCAGCCTCCCAGATGAGCTGTCCTTGGCCCCCACACTCTTTCCCTACCCAACCCCCACCCCCGCCCCCATGTGCCCCTGTCCAAGTGTCACATTTGAATCCCACGGATTTGAGGGATGGCAGGGACGCGGACACGCCTGCCCAACCCACAGGCTTACCTCCTTCTGAGGCCATCCCCGCAGGCTTGGGCAGGGACCACTGTATCCTACAGCCACCACAATGAGAAACGTCGAGTCCAGGTCCCAGACAGCGACCTGCTCCAGCAGATGCTCAAGATCCAATTAAGGAGGGAAAAGTTTGAATGTAAACAGGGACAGAATGTAGGGCTCCTGACATTCTGCAGCGGGGGAGGGGCCGAGGGCCAGGGCCCTGGGTGGGGGTGGGGAGACATTCCCTGAGGGCTCTGGCAGGTAGGCAAGGACCACAAGCCCCTCTCAAATGACACAGGGGCAACACAATTGCTGTGTGCCTTTGGAGGCAATTTATACAAGTTGTTCAGATTCCGAGCACCGAGGTGTTACTCGGTGGTCCTTTGCTTCCGTTTTCATCCATCGGCCGAGTTTGTGTCCCTCAACCCACTCTGCTTCCCACCTGGCTCTTGACTCACTTCAACCGAGGCCGGACTTTCTGAACAAGATTCAGAACATGTATTCTGATGAACACATGGGTCCTGAAGGCCACATGGAACGGAGGTTCCAAATTAGCACGGTCTCAGCAGATCCTGCGTGCTTGCTTGCACACGGGTCCTTCTGTCCTCGCCGCCCTCCGCTGCTGGAAGCTGCTCAGACTCAAGCAGGACGAGCCTTACTAATGCTCTCCTCTGCTGGAAAGCCCCAGCCTATCAGACAGTGGTCGTGCAGCCTACACATGCAGGACCAGAAATCACTACTTTTTGTTTCCCAGCATCCTGTGCTGTCATTCAACATTGACTCTTAACATTTTTCCTTCTTTTAGTGGAATATCTCAAAGAATCAATAGCTTTGTGTGGTTCAATGTCAAAGGACATAAAGGAATAGGCAGTGATGACTCTCCCTCCCACCTCTTACTCCTGGGCACCAAGCCCCTTTCTCGCAGGAAACCAGTGTTATCTGTGACGTTCAAATCTTCAGAGAGACGGATTATGCAACTAAAAGTACATGTGAGCTATTTTCATTTTCAAAAAATGCTTGTATTTTTTTCTGTGGCTAAAAGTTGACACATATTCCAAAATAGGTGTGAGTGTGTCCAGTGATTGACTTTATGCTGATACTGTGGCTCCTGTCCGTATTTCTGGAGACTGGATTCTGGGAACATGGAGTTCTACAGTCCTTTACATTTCAAGGACCCTGTAGAATAGGGTGGCTGGATTTAGCATATGAAATAATGGATGCTCAACTGAGTTAGAATTTCAGATAATAAGGATCAGCTTTTAGAATAATTGTGTCCCATGCAATATTTTGGATATAACTTTTACTGGAAATTTGTTCCCAGTTGATTTGAATTTTGCATTTAGCTGGAGTTCTGTACTTTATATGGCATCTCTACCCAAACAGTGTAATATATTCAGCTAATATTAGTCACCTTGTGGGAAAGAGAACTTGGATTAGGAGACTCAAGGGTGCTACTTTGAAAAAAAAAAGAGTGCTATCTTGGCTCACCCACAAAATCACTTGCCTGCGCACGCACATGCACACACACACACACACACACACACACACACACGGTGTCTATAGGCTCTTTGGGTGATATGGAATTTGGAGGCGCCAAATATACAGAATTGAGTATCTGGAATTAATGGGACTAAGGACAGAAGTAAGGGTTAGGAAAACTTCCCCTCCCTAACATCCTACAGTCCTGGTTTTCCTAGGGGTTAAAATCAATCCCCATGAAATGGATGTGCACCTGCCATCTATCCACTGACGTCCAACCCCCATTCACACAACCAGCTTCCTCTAAGTTCTCATTGGCCAATGCTAGCCTGGAAGCCCTGCTCACGGGCTTGTGTATTTCCTGTCTGCATGAGAGACCCTTGTTCTTTGGAATCCATGCTCATCAGGGCATGTGGCCTCATCTGCACGAGAATCATGGGAGCACCTCTTTAAAGTCTTGCTTGATTCTTCTTTTCATATTGCACATCAACATCAGTTTACTGGGAAGGTTCAAAATGACATGAAAGAGCATTGGGGTTTTGTGTCGTCAGGAGAGAGGACTGTTAGGAAATTGGCCAAGGGTGACGAGGGTTAAGAACCTCAGTGGTTGCCACCAATCTCTTGGGAGACCTGCTTCACCCCTGCTATCATAGCAGTACAGCTCCTAGGATGGCAGGGTGTTGGGGAAGGAAAGGGAGGTTTAGAAGGATGGCTCCACACTGACCATACACTGAAAAAGACTCCTGGTTAAGGCACCGAAACAATTCCTTGCCCCCTTGAGGAAAAGTTGACTCCAAAGGCCACCAGTGTGTGGAAACTGAACAGTGGACACCCTGATGCGGAAAGGCACTGGACTTTGAGTTCGGGACCTGGAGTTCCTCCCCTCCCCCTGCTCCGTACTATAGTCATGTAAGAGAGTCATTTCCCAATTCCTCTGCAATGTCCACACGGTTTCTAAGTTTTCTCCCAACTCCCACCCTGACAGGGCCCAGGGATTCTTTATATTAGCACTTCTGGAGTGTAGGGCCAGCCACCCAAAGCAGGTGAGCTCCACGGTGCAGCCCTTCAGGACATTCCCCAGGCCTCTCCCACTCTGCAGTGTGGAAGGGACTCTCCACAGGCACCCATCTTTGTGTTCTCT